TGGTTGATTAAATCACTGGTGACAGCTCAATCACCAGCCCCTCTCTCCTGCCAGGAGTTTGTGTTGAGAGGAGTTGACGGTTATAAGCCTCCAATCACACAGTTCCTCTGACAACCAGCCCCCATTCTTATTAGGGGCTTTCCAACAGTTATATTCCTGGCTGAAAAAGCTTGTTATGAATAGCAAAATACACTTTGACCACTCTTCACTTAGGAAATTCAAGAGTTTTAGGAGCTCTTTGCCAGGAACAGGATGTAGACCAAATACTAGTAGCTCTTTTGGGTGGGGGAAGAAAACAGACTACAAAGGGACACAAGGGAACTTCTGGGGTCATGAAACTATCTGTATAGTGGTGGTGGTTATACTGCTGTATATCTTTGTCAAAACTCAGAACTGTACAGCTAAGAAGAGTTTACTGTATGTAAATGATACCTCAACACACCAGACCTTAAAAAATAGGTAGAAAGAAAAGGACCAGGCTCAATACCAGACTAGATGTCAGTGACTCCAAGCACACCATCGTTCTTAATGTTTATTTTGGAATTATTTTGGGGTTTTTCTGTATTATATTTAAATATTGATAGAATTATATTTGATATTATAAATAGAACATTTTGTGAAACATTTCTTTCAACTATATAAATGTGTGTTGAGTTGTGATATAAATTATATTTCTTATTGTGGGCCATGGTAAAAATATTTTGAAAAATGCTACCCTAGAAAAACTTACCCCATGTGAACAGGAAAAGATATGTGGCAGTTTCAGTGAGCACCGTTTGAAATTAAGAAAACTAGTAATAGGATAAGTCGTATAGTGGGATGCCTGTATATCAGTTAAAGTGGAAGGATTAGTGCTGTAACATAAGTAACCCTCAGAAACACAGGATTGAACAAAAGGAAGCTAAAGTAGGATGCTTTGATATCATTTATATATTTTTAAACATGCAAAATTGGGATGTATAAATATATTAACTGCTTAAACCTCAAGTTTTAGCAAATTTTGCATAGTTAATGGCTTAGTCTTGAATAAAGAGGGCTTCAACCATATCTAATTTGTCTTTTTAAATAGATGGGGCAAGATGTTTGCATTTGACAAAGCTTAGTGTGAGTATAAAGGTGTTTTCTTTGACTCTTTATGTTTGAATGTGTTTTAATCTGTAGAGAGGGTCATCAGTACCTGCATCCTTGAAAGCCATCTGTGTTACTGGGTAGTAGCAGTGGGTTCTACTTTTAAGCTTAGAGGAAAAGGGAAAGAAGGTTTTAAAAAGTGGGTGTGGGGATAGAGAAGGTAAAAGAAAAGGCTGAGAGAGAGGGAGGAACATAAGAGAATGCAAGCAGTGGGTGCATATGATGGTGTAACGTGCTTGATATCCTGTGTAGACTGTACTCATTGAAGTTTCTGCTGTACTAATGCATAACCCACGTTTTTCATGTAAGGACAAAAACCTTATGATTTTAACGGATGTTTAAAAATGTTTTTTAAAGTATACAATTGAAACAGTTTCATTGTTTAAAAATCAGGATAAATAAGCAAAAAGAAAATAATAAAATCTCACCATTTTTGATATTATAGTGTATGCCCTTTTATGCTTTATACCAGCAAATCTGTACATACTTTTTTTTAAAAGATTATATTATAGGAGTCATACTGCAGCCTTTTTATCACTTTTTTACCACTCACCAATATGCACTGAAGAGTACTATTTTAACATTGTGTGGATATGGAAGTTACCCCACTCCTGATGTGAAAAACTGTCATTATTTCCAGTTTTTCACTATTTAAACATTTTTATAAATGTATCTGCAGTGAAATCATTACAACATACATCTTTAATTCTTCCCCAGGTTAAGTTCATAGATGGTGAGTGGAAAAGTATGCATATTTTTGAGATTGTGGATTCTTGATAGTTCCTCAAGAACTCCACTTTTCCTCATAACATAGGAATAATGAGAAAGGACAGATTTAAATTAAAGGGATATATGTGACAGATATATGTGATAATATATATGTGAATAATAAAAATTATTCAACACAGATACATGTAGATTTTTTGAGGGCTATATATGTTACATGTTATATAGTACTTGGATCAAAATAAGCTCAATTACAAAATAGGTTTCCATATCATCCAGTTCTTGTTAAGGATAATTGGATTCCTAAGTTTTCATTTTTTGCCTAAGGTACTTTCCTTTGTAATAAGTAACTGGAAACTGAGCAATACCAATGAGTTTTCTTTTTCTTATTTAAAAAAAAAAACAAAACTAAGACTTCATGATTCCCTTTTATACTATAGGAAGAAATGCTCTTAGAACAAAAATCTCTAATACAAATGACAAAATAATCCTAAACTGTCCCAGGCAGGTAAAATCTCCATCTTTATTGATCACCAAGAAAGTCTTAAGTCAGCTTTGTGTTAGAAATTTCCATCAATAGAGAAGGAATAGAATCCTCTGGCACTAGATCTGTGACAAGGATATCATTTGAAAGATAAGGAGTTGAAGGGACTTACAACATAGAGTCATTGTGGAGATAGTTTATAAGGAAAGAGCAGTGTCTCAGACTATGTGGATTATTTTCAGATAATTTTCTCATGGATAAAACTTTTAAGTTACAGATCTCAAAACCAGAAGCTGTCCAAATGGTACAATAATGAATATGCTAAACCAATGCATTTTTGTTTTGATTGGTATTTACATCGAATAACTAGATGTAGTAATGAATGTATTAATAAACAGTCAACTCTACTTTGAAAGGCAAGGATCTTGTCTTACTCATTTCTGTTTCTCCAACACTCAGCACTTGTTTAATACTAGTAGACAATAAATCTTGAATGAAATAACTAATTGTTTCTTAATTCTTCCAAACAGACCGGTTTGTGGACAGAACTTGAAAAGATTGAGAATAATTTCTTAAAGCCCCTCCATACAGGACTCAATATGTCAAAAGCACATTATGAAGCAGAAATTAAGAATAGCCAAGGTTGGTACTGTGAAATTTCATTTCCAGTTAAGTCTAAAAATTAGATTTTTTAAACTCATTTATATTCCAAATAAAGAACTTTATCTTGTACTTGTCTAACTTATAGCCAACAAGGAACCATGACAACTGAGTCATTTTATTTATAATTAAAATGATTCTTTGTGAATATATATTCCAATTAATACTGAAATTGGGTTAAATATTTAAACCAAACTGGAGCATTCTGGTTTAAAACCTCAAGTTCTGATTAGAATCTAATTGTATCACAAATATTTGTTTGGATATCATTGTACTTCTTTCTGACCCATTGCAGGGTCCATCCCCCATGATATCTTTACTAAATCTCAACCTCTACTAAATTTGTACAAATTACAAAAGAGAATCTTAGGTCCAGAATTACTTTTAAAGTCAGCAGTTCTATTCTAATAATCTTGTAATCTTTTCCATATAACAATGGTGATATTTCTATAGACATCACTATTAATAAAAATTTTGTCTTAGTGTAACAGGTTATAATTCTGATTTTATGTTGACAAAAGTTTCATTCATCTTGTACATGCCAAAATAATGCTATTCACCTGAAGAAACATTAATTCACATGTTACAGAATTTTGATATTTTTATTTGTTCATAGCCAGTTTTTAGCATACCCTGAGCTATTAAATCTTCCCTGGTGGCTCAGTGGTAAAGAATCTGCCTGCCAATGCAGGAGACATGGGTTCAGTCCTGGGTCAGAAAGATGCCCTGGAGAAGGAAATAGCAACCCGGCTACAGTCCAAGGGTCAAACATGACTTGGCAACTAAACAACAACAACACAACTAGCTATTAAAATCATAAGACTTAATTTACACAAGTAACTGGCATTTTCTTTTAAGTTAGTAAACAAATTATAAATTTATTATTGAAATCTGAGAATTTTTAATGGTTAAGTGTGACACGGTTTTTTCCTTCTCTTACAGAAGTCCAGAAGTCTAAAGATCATTGTTCACTAAATGTAGGTAGAGAGGAGATCCCAAATATGCCTCCTGAAATGCAGCTTAAGGTAGATATGAAATTTTCCTAAGCTACATCCAACTGAACTCTTTTCTCTTTTTTGCTTTGCTTTGTTTTAAACATAGCCTTAATAACTAATTTTTCTTGGTATTATAGGTCCTACATTCAGCTCTTTTCACATTTGATTTGATTGAAAGTGTTCTGGCTCGAGTAGAAGAACTCATTGAAACAAAAACAAAGTCTACCTCTGAGGAAAATATGGGATAAAGTGAAAGCTCCATCTCCTAAATAAAAACTAGTAATACACTATATTTTTCATTATGGTTTATTTAATACCTTTATAGAATTTTTTCTGTAAAACGCACTGATAGAAAATAAATGTGGCTTCTCTTACTTATCTGTTTCAGCAATGACACATTATGGATCAGTAGCATTGTTTCCTTTTAAAAAGGTATCTATATGGTAAATAATGCACATGTGTATTTTAAATACTACTGTTGAAAAATCTAATATGAATCAATAATTTTATATTATGATTTCATAAAATGTACTGGAATTACCTTTATTCATACAGTTGTGAGCTTCTAAAAATTCTGATACATTTTATGTTCCAGTTAGATGCTATTGTAGAACTCTTAGTGTTAAACTGGCTATCATAGCACTGTAAGAGCTTAGAGAAAAATTCTGAGTCTGTGTACTACTCCTGATTTCCCTTTTTTACCCTGCCTCAGGAGTCTTAGAGGACAAAGTCCTCTATCACCAGCTTTCCAGCAATAGTTACAGTGTGAAAGTATCTGTGAAGATTAATTTTAGAAATAGTGGCTGGCTTGTATTATAAAAAGGTATATATGACTTTTTCTTTAACCCAAGGGGCTAATTAGAAAATGCTGTATACTTATTTGCAATTAAACATTTGTTCTTCCAACTTAATTTGTATCATTAAAAAGCTTCAATCTAAGTTTTATATACATGTACCAATATTTTTTGAACATTATTAAAGGAATTAACAGAACTCTGAAAGTAAAATCATTTTTAATTGTATGTATTTTAATATCCTTCCCAAAGAATATTTATAGTTGATAATCTAATTTGGGTTAAATGTATCACTACTCAGTTTTATCTTTTGAAGTGTTTTCCACACAGGACTTCGCTCAATGATGTAAGCTTTAGTTGTTATCATTCTGTAGCAGATGCTATCTATGTATGATTTGGAGGTGATCTGGAAGAAGATATAAACATGAAACATTATTTAAGAAATAAGGTATTTTTACAGGGTCACATCATAAAATACCTAACTTATTCAATAGGTATTAATCAGTACTATGTATGAGTTATTAGAGTAATAGAAAAATACCTGATCTTTGTCTTTATGGAATTTCAAACATGCAAACCAGAAAAGTAGAGTACTATTAAGAATTGCTTCACAACCTAGATGCCCATCAGCAGACAAATGGATAAGGAAGCTATGGTACATATACACAATCCATTAAAAAGAATTCATCTGAATCAGTTCTAATGAGATGGATGAGACTGGAGCCCATTATACAGAGTGAAGTAAGCCAGAAAGATAGACCAATACAGTATACTAACACATATATATGGAATTTTAAAAGATGGTAACGATAACCCTGTATGCAAAACAGAAAAAGAGACACAGATGTACAGAACAGACTTTTGGACTCTGTGGGAGAAGGCGAGGGTGGGATGTTCTGAGAGGACAGCATTGAAACAAGTATACTATCAAGGGTGAAACAGATCGCCAGCCCAGGTTGGATGCATGAGACAAGTGCTCAGGGCTGGTGCACTGGGAAGACCCAGAGGGATGGGATGGGGAGGGAGCTGGGAGGGGGGACTGGGATAGGGAACACATGTAAATCCATGGCTGATTCATGTCAATGTATGACAAAAACCACTACAATACTGTAAAGTAATTAGCCTCCAACTAATAAAAATAAATGGAAAAAAAAAAGAATTGCTTCAACGGGGATCTGTTCCAAGTAAAAGAGTAAGGAACACCTAACTCTGCCTATGGGAGTTGGGAGCACACTTTATGGAGAACAAGCATGAAAAGAAAAGTGGAAACTAGTCAGGTTATAAAATAGCATGTTTGCACTCTGACAGTTCATGACTACCAATATTTATACTTGAGAATTTGAAAGAAGATTTAAGTAACCAATAGGGCTAACACTGTATATACGATCAAATGCTCTTCTGAGCTAAATGAGTGATTCTGATAGTTGCTACTGGAATTGAGAAGACTTGAGAGGCCAAATTCAGGCTTGGGAAAGAGTTGCATGTGTTTGGAAAATAGCAGCTTCTCTAAGGGAAACAGAGTATTTGTCAGTTCCATTGAATAGGGAATGCATTTTGAAGTAAAGAATCTCAAAGTTGATCAGTGTGTATGTATGTATGTGATTTTCCTCAGGTGACTTACCTTAGCTATGGTGCACATAAGATTAATAGCATTTACTGTGTTGTGTACTGGAAGTATCCGTAAGTTACTACCCAGGAATCTGGTGGGGGGAGAAATCGTTTAAGTTAAATAGATCATATGACTTACATTTGTTATCCTAAGTGGAAAGAAGAGACAAAAATCCTTTATTGTTTGTCATTTGTGTGTTCATTCATGCCTGCCTATTCCACAGAGGATTTAATATGGCTTTAAAACCAGAACTTAATTGACTAAAAAGTGTTCACTTCTTATTTAGTCTTGCTGAAGAAATCCATAAATCAGCATGCATTCTGAAACTTGTCACTCTCATTCATAGAATAGCTCTTTGGCTTGCATTGTATTAAAAATGAAAGGTTAACATTATGAAGTTTATCTTTTGGCAAAACATAATTCACTTGCCTGAAACAATTCAGAACTGAAGTACATAAAATAAGGAAAACAGGTCTGTAGTGTTACTGTCCATACCTCTGCTGAATCCTGAACATCAGTTTCCATTCTTCAGGTCCATGCAGGGCAGCAGACAGAACCAAAAAACTATTTTGGTGAATGTTAATAAACTTCTCAATTTTGACTAGAAATGTTTCTTCAGCAGACATAAAGCATTCTCTAGCATCCATCAATAAAAATGCAACTCCTAGGAAAGGTGAATGTAATATAAAATGTCACTGTCATATTAATAAAAATTTTTTATAAACTTAATAAAATCAACAAAAATAACTATAAATTAAACATATCTGTAGGTGTCCAGGCCCTAAACCCATAACAGATGGAAATCACTATAACAAAAGACTTACACAGCAAAATAATTAGGTAGTTCTTTGAAGTGCTCTGTAATAAAAGGATGACAATCTAAATATTTAAGGGAAAAACCCTTTCTGGGTCAGTAACCCTTTTTTTCCTTTAAGGCACTATCCACAATGAAAGTAAGGCCTAATTTTAGTTACATGTTAATTTTTCATGTTATAATTTTTAAAAGCTGGAAATCAATTAAAGAAAAGTAGTTTTAAGCAAGCTTTTAGTTATTTCTTGGAGAATCTTTTGTATCATAACATAAACCATTATATAAATTAACACACTCAGGAGCAGATATCTAGGGTCTCTGAAACAGTATCAAGTGTATAAGAATGCTCCAGAAGGCTTCCCTGGTAGTCCACTGGTTAGGACTCAGTGCTTCCACTGCAGAGGGCACAGGTTCGATCCCTGGTCAGGGAACTAAGATCCTGCATGCCATGTGGCAGTCTTCCCCCACCTCCAAAAAAAAGAATGGTCCAGAAAAGAAGCTTAATCTGATTAGCTCTTTAAAAGATGAGTGGAAGACACAATCTCAGGAAGTAAATAACTATGTGATTATACTAATTGAATGAACTTAACGCTAAAATTTATATAACCTTTCTGAATCTAAATTACCTCATCTGTAAGGTTGGAATAATAGTTCTTTGATAGGTTAAAAGGCTTAAATAAGAGAATGTATATAAAGTGACCAAAGCATACAACAGAGTAGGTATTTACCAAAAATATTTTACTTCTCTCTAGAGGGTTCTCTCTCCAACCAGGAAGGATGAATTTGAGGTTGGACCATTTTCAGTTTGGATGTCTATTTCTAGGAGCTTTTGAAAGTGCTTGTCTTCCAAAATCTCTGTTAGAGTACAGGTCTATTCATAACCATTCTAATATAATAAAATCCTTTACCTCCACATCTTTTTATCACTTGCATCATTTTCCAAGCACAAGTAGAGCTGCCCCCTTCCCATGTCCCCAGTTTTCTCATATCCTAATCTAATTCCTTTGCCTATGACTCACAGTTGTATAGTTTTATGATTTCAGGAACATTTGTCCCCATTTGGTTCTTTTAGTTAGTATTTGTTTATATTATGTTCAGTAAACTCTTGTACAAAATCATGAAAAACATTCTCCTATATTTTTTTCCCACCTAATTTTTTAATTGAAGGATGATTGCTTTACATCCTGTATTGTTTTTGTATATGGATTTTGATCAATATGATGCTAGCCTCTTTGTTAATATGAGTAATATTTTAAATGATTGTTAGGGAGGATGGCTTTGTTGTACTTTCATGTTAGTTTCAAAGCAAGTAGTTTGTACTGTTCTCTACTAGACTCCAGTGATTTAACTTTAGTTCAACAATTATAATCTAAAAAGGAATGTATTTTGTAACTGGCCATATGTACTGCTTTTGTAGGAGTAACAGTTTTATTACACATTCACCTTTCCCCCAAAATAACACCTTAAGCTTATTATTCCATTACTGAACTACTGAATAATTAGAATTTACATGCACGTATTTATTAGCAAATTTAAATCAAGGAAGTCAGCAAATATACTGTACCAGAAAGAGAAAATATAATTGATCCATTTTCCACTGAATCTGAATACCGAACCTTGTGGCTTTGATTTTCTAGGGCAGCTGCAACTTCATAACTCTTTAAAAAAAAATTTCAGAAATACAGACTTAAGACATCTTTTTAATAGTTAATTAAAGCTAATGAAAAAACATGAAGTTTAATAGCTTTGTTTATAACTGTACACTTAAAAGATTTGATCACTGAGACACTAAATGTGCTCTCTCTGTGGAGGAAAAAAACTTAAAAAAAAAAAAAATTTAGTTCTCCTAAAATACACTATGGGTTTGGAAATGAGTTGTGTACTAGTTATGTTACTTAGGGAAGAAACTAAGGACAATATTAAAGAATTAAACTATAAGAGCAAACACAAACTTCTTTTTAAAAAGCAACTTGAAGATGGATTCTTCACATACCCATAATTATGTGGGTAAATAGGAAATTAGAAATATTTGAGGCCTAGAAATTAGATGCTTAGTATTTAAACCAGAAGTCCTATTGTCTTCATACATGTTTTCTAACTCACCTAAGTGCTTAAGACATTTGAAAAGTTTACTAAAAGTAACTAAACAGACGAACTGGAGAATTGATTGTGTCTGTAGTTTTCTGAATGGCACTTCACGGTTCTGTCAATCATCTAACACACCACATCAAGAAAAATGTCACCTTCTATTTATTCATTAAGGCATGTCAGAATCCATCTTTAAGTTGTTTTTTAAAAAGAAGTTTGTATCTGCTCTTATAGTTTAATTCTTTCATATTGTCCTTAATTTCTTCCTTAAGTAATAGCTGTAGTAACACAACTCATTTCCAAACCCACAGTGTATTCCAGAAGAACTAAGTATTTTTACTTTTTTTTTTTTGTTTTTTTCTCCATAGAGAAACCACATTTAGTGTCTCAATGATCAAATCTTTAAGCTATATATGGTACAGCTATAAAAGAAGCTATTAACAATTAGATATTACCTAAAGCACTTCCCCAGTGGCTCAGCACTCATCATCCGCCTGCAATGCAGAAGACACAGGAGGAAGATCCCCTGGATGAGGGGCATGGCAACCCACTCCAGTACTCTTGCTGGGAAAATCCCATGGACAGAGGAGCCTGGCGGGATACAGTCCATGGGGTTGCGAAGAGTTTGACATGACTGAAGCGACTGAGCAAAGCATTAAAATATAAGTGGTTCATAGTATTTATTGACGGGTTGAAACTCAAGCTTGTTAGTCTCCAAGTAGATAGAAACCCCTTACATTTATTTTATATTTTGCCTCATTATTATTCTATATTTGCCTGTGTATATTTTAAGCATACAGGTTGGAATTAGGTACCAAATATGTGATTCCTTCCTAAAGATAGAGTATTTTATGCTACTCAAACAGATACTGACTTAAGAGTTCAATTAAGACTCTTCCCATGAGTTTTCTGCTGTTTTCAAATTATACATTGCTTCCAGTGATGGCAGATAAGGCCAACTCTCCTGCTGAAGGCATCTAGGAAAGCTGGCAAATTTTTAAAAATCTGCTTGAATGCATCAGAGAGCTAGCAGGATAGTGAAAAATTACAAGATCAAGACCTATACAGAAATTCAAAGATAAGAGATAGGCATTTAGGCCATTTTCTCCCCTGAGGGCGTCTGTCAATTCAGGAAGAGACAGATGAGAGGCTGAAGAGAGCTTTTGACAAAAGTGGAACAGCTCTCATAGGGGCTGCAGCCTAGCTTCAAACCATTTCAATCCCTAAAATTGGATTAAAGTGATACTGCATTACTAGTGCTCCCAAGCACCTTGCAGAAGCACTCCCTAGAGCAACCTTTCTCAATTAGGTCTCCTCATTTCAGCTACAGAACAAAGAAAATTATCTGAATATTTTCTCAATTTAAAACATAACAAGTATCACTGAAATGAACAGAACATAAGCTCCTTTATTATATACAATAGAAGCTGGGTTGCCAGATCAGCAAATAAAAATATAGAACATCCAGTTAAATTTCAATTTCAGATAAACATGATATTTTAGTATTAATATAAGTATGTCCCATGCAATATTTGGGATGAACTTAAACTAAATTCATTATTTACCTGAAACTTTTAAGTTTAACTGAGTGTCCTATATTTTATCTGGAAACCCTGCTTAGAGAATTAAAGGTTTAATTTTCTCTCAGAATTAAGGTTTCTCTAGAGGAATATAACACTATTGTAGGCCTCAAATAATTTCTACAAACACTTTTTTTTCAAATAAAAATTCCAACAATCAATCAAAAATAATCAGACATATAAAGAGACAAAATTACATGAAAAGAGAACTATGAGAAACAACAGGTAATAGAAACAGTAACAGGACATACATACAGTAAAGTTACATATATACCTTAAAATAGCTATTTACTATATTCAAGGAGAAAAAAGGCCAAGATGGAGAATTTTGGCAAAGAATTAGAAATTATATAAAAGGATGTAACAGATCAAACCAGTCAATGCTAAAGGAAATCAACCCTGAATATTCACTGGAAGGACTGATGGAGAAACAAGCTCTAATACTTTTGCCACCTGATGCAAAGAGGTGACTCACTAGAAAATACCCTGATGCTGGGAACGACTGGGCTTCCCTTGTGGCTCAGCTGGTAAAGAATCCGCCTGTAGTGCGGGAGACCTGGGTTCAATCCCTGGGTTGGGAAGATTCCCTGGAGAAAGGAACGACTACCTACTCCAGTATTCTGGCCTGGAGAATTCCCTGGACTATACAGTCCATGGGGCTGCGAAGAGTTGGACATGACTGAGCAACTTTCACTGGGAGAGATTGAAGGTCAAAGAAGAAGGGGGCGGCACAGGATGACATGGTTAGACAGCATCACCCACTCAGTGGACATGAATCTGAGCAAACTACGGGAGATAGTGAAGGACAGGGAGCCTGGAATGCTGCAGTTGATGGGGCTGCAAAGAGTTGGACATGACTGAGCAACAGAACAACGACAACAGGCAAAACTAACTATAAATCTGAGATAAATCAGATCAACAGTTGCTTGAGGCAGGGAACTGGAAAAGGTCTGATTATAAAAGGGCAGGAAGCAATTTTCTGGAGCGATGAAAATGTTCTATATATTTTGACTGGGGTGATGGTTACACAGGTATACACATTTGCCAAAATTCATTAAGCTTACACTTTAAATGTGTGTATTTTATTGTATATAAGTCTCACCTCAGTTAAATTGATTTTTAAAACATCTTTCAAGATCAAGGGGGAAACAAAAATATAGTTGATTCTTGTACAACATGGATTTGAACTGTGTAGGTCCATTTATATGTGAATTTTTTTCAATAAATACATATATTACACAATCTGAGGTTCACTGTATCCTCACACACAGAGCTGCTGATACAATGGGCCAAATGTAAAGTTAAAGGTGAATTTTCAACTGTGAAGGGATCAGCACCTTCAAGGGTCAACTGTATTTTGAGAGGAGAACTGAGATGGTCCTCATTGAACTAATTTCTAAATTATATTCTTCAGATAAAAAGGAAAATGATCCAAAACAGAAGGTTTGAGCCAAAAGAAGAGCAAAAAAAGTAACAAAGACATGAGTAAATCTAAACAAATACTAACTTTAGAAAGTAATAATAATGCTTTGTGGAGTTAAAAAATTGAGGAAATTAAACTATATGATAACAAATACAGAAGAGGGTGATTGGAATTCAGTTCAGTCGCTCAGTCGTGTCCGACTCTTTGTGACCCCATGAACTGCAGCACGCCAGGCCTCCCTGTCCGTCACAAACTGCTAGAGTTTACTTAAACTCATGCCCATCGAGTTGGTGATGCCATCCAGCCATCTCATCTTCTGTCGTCCCCTTCTCCTCCTGCCCCCAATCCCTCCCAGCATCAGGGTCTTTTCCAGCAAGTCAACTCTTCGCATGAGGTGGCCAAAGTATTAGAGCTTCAGCTTCAGCATCAGTCCTTCCAATGAACACCCAGGACTGATCTGCTTTAGGATGGACTGGTTGGATCTCTTTGCAGTCCAAGGGACTCTCAGGAGTCTTCTCCAACACCATAGTTCAAAAGCATCAATTTTTCAGCGCTCAGCTTTCTTCACAGTCCAACTCTCACATCCATACATGACCACTGGAAAAACCATAGCCTTGACTAGATGGACCTTTGTTGGCAAAGTAATGTCTCTGCTTTTTAATATGCT